CCCCAACCTCATGTACATTTTTAATAAATCTAAATTGCACAACATTGTCTTTTCGAAAACAGTGGCCGCACTGCACCGTGTTGTGTGTAGACGCTTTGACCGGACTGAAGATATGCAACTCACCGGATAACCTTGACGATCAGCTAAATAATAAAATTGCTAAAATTTACATCATAACACATCAAATCAGGTTCTTCGCGGGCTGCTTTGCCTATTTTGAGACACTGATTTTGAATACGAAACTAGTTTTTACCTGCGATAATTGCAAGGCCTCGTGGTGAAATCAGCCGCTCGTCAAAATAATGAAATCGAAAATATCGTCATTTTTCCTCCAGACTGACAATTAAGAAAGAAATGATTTTGGGGCGCTCAACACCTTTCATGTCCATTTTAAAACATATTTCTGTGTGGATTTAACTGAAAAACATGGATTAAAGGCTCAACAAATGTACATTTCAATATTCCAAGGATTCTCAAGCTTTGGAAATCATCAAGCTTTGGCGGCCATTTTCTCGCTAATTTTACCTCTAAATCCAATGGCAAATATCTCGACTTCTATTTAAGATAGGTTTGTATGTTTTTATACAAAGATGGTCAATTAAATAATCTTTAAGATCTTTTAAGATGATACCAATAACCCTAATAGCCCACAAAATGACGAGCGCCTGATTCCAATGCATCATGACACAAATATGTTTACAATTTTGAGCCCTCAGTTTAATCCTGGGCGGTGGCAAATTTTAAAGTGATTCTTCGTCACAGCGCGTCTCCACCAAGTCTGACCGTGATCGCATGAAAAATATCAAGCAGCGCTTGATTTCTCGACCGAGTCTCCAAGTCATCATCCAATCGTCCAAACGTACAATTTGTCGTATGATCGTCCAGTTTTTGTACGATTTACCGTTGCGTTGAACCGGGGCTTAAGTTCTAGTAAGAGTTTTGTGTCACTTACAACACAATAAAGGTTATGTAAGTGCCGAAGATTAAAAGAGATACAAAAGTAACAAATACAAAAAAGAAGTTGAGACCAGGAATTTAGATGTATGATGGAAAAAAGGAGCAAACAACATCAGATTACTCGCCACCAACTCGCTCACTAGGAACACTGTTAGAAGTCAGAACAATGTCAAACTGTCGAAATATGAGTTGCGACATATTATTTATTTAGGTGACGGAGGTTGTGGTGTAGCTGGTAGCCTCTTCGCTGTCGCATGCAGGAGACCAGAGTTCGATTCCCAAGCACAGTAGGATCGAAGTAGCCCGCCTGCTTAGTGTATACATACAGACAAAATAGATAAGTAGCCGTAAGGAGACAAACAGACAAATAGACAAGAAAGCAAATAGATAATTGGACGAACAGAAATATAGATAAGGGCACAAAGAGACATGTAAACAAATAGACAAATGGGCAAAAAGACAAGTCTTAGTGGATAAGCAGTCAAATGGACAGAATGACGAATAGACAAATAAATAAGTAGACAAATGGAAATGTTGACAAAGACAAACAGACATTAGACAAAAACCCAACCCTCTTTTCTTTATCCCCATTCCTCCCCACCGTTTTTTCCTTCTTATCTCCCTACCCCCGGAAAAACCACCCTTTTCAACGACTACCTCACCCCCCGCCCCCACATGTCATTCTTTATAGTTTTAGTCTGGCCTCAGGCATGGATTAAAGAAAAATGTACAGGTGGCAGTACATACATTCTATGTGGTCCACCCCCCAAAAAATTATCTCCATACCATTCATAATACAGTGGTCTCCGCCTAAGATTACACAGCGTACGATCCCAGTTCGTTTAAAATCCCGCTGTTTAAAAGAAAACAGAATTTTTACTGTACAAAGGTCACCCTTAAGATCCTGCTCTGATTCACTCTGAAAGTCTACATTCGACTAAGATCCTGCATTTCTGATCATAATTAACGGATTTACAGAACAAAAACTCGGGCCAGCACAGCCGATCAACCAAGTGTGAAAAATTGAGATCATTGAACTGCCTGTCAGGTCAAAGATCAGCCACTCTCATGAATGTCATCACATGCCTAAGATCCTGCAATAAACTTGCTCCTGAGCACCGGGATTGTAGGCGGAGACTACTGTGCAATACAATGTCGGTTCTGTATTCTCATTTATTTTAATATCAGTTATTTTCTTAGATTCATGTGGTGTCAGTAGTCTTGTGGTTAGGCTACCAGATTGGTAATCATTTGTAATAGCGCCGTTGCAAGTTTGGAGGTTCGAGGCTCAGCTCATTTCGATGTTGTGCCCTTGGAACTTGGGAAAGGCACACGTATGAATTTTCCCTGTTATGGCTCGGTCCTATCAAAGATGAACTATAAATTCAGAGGTCCCACCTTTTAAATTACAAAAGTGCTGCAAGGAGCATTAAACCTCTATACAATTTCACACAATTTAGATTTTCTGGTTGGGTTTCTCAAAAAAAAAGAATCATGCTGCAGTGTCAGTGTCAAGAAGTTCCAGTCTAGATATTCTAGATGATAAAATAACATCAAGAGTGTGAGGAAAAAAGAACTGTTTACGGTGTCACTTTTCACCCGATTCTGTAACCTTTCGTGACTCAGCAGCTCGTCGGAGCTCCCCAGCTCGGGGTCACGGGGTTAATGAGCCCTGAAGCAACTTTGTCAGTGTTGGTAAAGAAGTTCGTATTTTAGTCAACAGTTTTTGTACTGGACAAGTGTTTGTGGAGAACTCAATTTGTCCTGTTTTAGTCATAAACTTATGAATAAATGATCATTTATTTAAAAACGGCACGACAGATCTCCTCAAAATCTGTGTCAAACTGACTACGGATATCGTGTTTTTTACCATGAGAAATCTTAAATCTGTGCAAGTAGTAATAGTCAAGTTATAAGAGAAGACAGATGCACATCGACGATTTTTAACTAAAGACACTCAGCATTTGCTGTTAGTTTACTATTAAACAAGAGAAAGTTACTTTGCATTTGTTCATGAATCATGCTGTGTCTGTGACAGCCTGCATACAACTAAGAAAGATTTATGCGATTTTTTAAAAACATAAAACTGTAAATACATGGGTAGAGATAAACTTCTTGTATGGAATAAACATAATGACAGCTAACACATTCATTCTTAGTTTAGTTTATGTGCCAGAAATATGTGCGGACACTTATAATGAACGTAAAAAAATCAGAACATTGTCAGTTATTGCAAATCGTCATAGAAACAAAAATAAAATCTAGAAAAGTCTAGTGCTGATTCAGTGTCACTGGAAAGCTAGAAATTATTCTAATAATCCAATTACGAGAAGTCATTCCTGTTATTCACTCAACTTTCAAAACATAGACTTAGCGCATTAAGAAAAGTAAGGAATTTCCGGAGCGTAACAGATACTGTTCGTGTATTACATTGTAGATGTATTTTGGCACTAAAATCCATTTGTACTTTTTCATAGAGAGACTTCAGGGTAATTTTTATAAACTTTCAAGAAAATATGTGAATATTCCTGATTATATTAGACATATAAAGTTGTATTTGGAGGGAGTACTTCCTAGCCACTTGTGCGCGAGATGGATAAATTTGCAAAATTACAACTTTCTATGACATGAGTATATATACCATATTTTCTGAGTATCTGCACCAAAGTTATGTCGTTCTTGTTCCAAAAGTTCGACAGTTTTTGTAGTGCCTTTGTTTTTATGTTGATTAATTTTCATTCACACTTGTCCAAAAAATTTTACAATTTATCATTGCCGACTTCAACGCATCTAACAAAATAACCAGGCAAGTTACAATGTCCGTTCTTTTTTGAGTCTCAAGAGCAGAAATATGTGCTTTGGGTACATTAAATGATAATTACCATAAATACAAGGACACACCTAAAACTGTACATTGAAAAGTACCAAAAATCAAGTCAGCCCAGACAGAGTGGCGACAGGGAGCTGACCCCCATGATCCTGACATGATACATGTAAGGCGCTCGGCAGGGAACCCCTGCAGCAAGTAAGTAAAATTTCACTGCCGGTGCGCCGTGTGTTAAAATTAGGATTAGTTAGCACTAGGTCGCATATTTTCTTCTCAGTCTCGAGGAACTATTTTCAAAGTAGTGAAAGTGAAAGTAATGTATTTATTACTTAACACTTTTCTCCTACACAAGGCGCAGAGCGCAAAGGCCATCTATATTCTCACCCCTGGAGAGAAAAGCTCATGACCCGCTATTCTCACCCCCCTCCCCCCTGGACATTGAGAGAGGTGTTGATCTATATTTTTTTTACTGTAATAGTTCGGCCTGCTTCAAGCCTTCCATCCTATGAGATGAAGGACCGTTCTTAAAGAATTAAAGTCAAGATATGAGATAAGGAAAATTACGATGCAGACTTTTGAAACAGACTTATGGGACCAGCCGCCTGCCACTTAACAATGGCAGGCCTCTCTGCTTGCACATAATAAATTATGGTTCAAGGAATAGAGAGCGTACCAACCTAACGAGACTAATGCTCTTGCACGACGGTAGAACGGTTGTAAATTATTCAAACCAAATGGGCGAGGGCATTAAATCTTGTAACTTGTTAATTATAATTAAGCAATCCAAGCTCTTTTCTTTACTTTCATTTTTTTCTTTTATATTCTTTCTTTTTCTTTTTTTTCTTGCCTCTCCTTTCCCCTTTTTCTTGAACATTTGGAGTTTGGAACCAAAAAAGAGCCATAGCCAAATTAAAATCTCTGGGCCAGACATGATACAAAAAGAGCAAATTTTTGGAATTTCGCTCCAAACTGACAACCGTAACTGTGACACAATCCTGTCAGTGGAGAATCAGCCCTACTACCCCCAGGGAATTCCGGTAACCTCAGCCCTGATATCCGTCTTGGGTCATTTCAGGTAAAACGAGGGGGTGAGAATAGCGAGATAGGGGAGATAATATAAGCGAAGTCATTTCGTTACACATAATAGGGATGTGACGAGGTGACCGTGTGACTAATGACCGATTATCGATTCTAGAGAAATCTAGGTCTATGCAGCATTAATTGAAAATTTTCACTCCAGTCCAATTAATAATTATTACATGGCATAATAATGGCACACAATCTGAATTCAGCACTCACGCATCACAAACCATAATCCAGGAAGAGTTTAAAAAACAATAGGCTGAAATTGAAGTGGGCATTTCAAAAGTCCAAAAACAGGCTTACAGGGATATACATATATCATAGAAGTTACTTTCTTTAGTAAGGCTAGATTCTATTATTATGTTACATTTAACAACCCTGTCGCCGACTGACTTTTCATGCTGGAAAGAGACAACATTTTACGTTCACCGATCAGCATTCCAAGGAGGAAAAGACACTGACACTGGTAGTAATGACATTCTGACTAGTTCGGGGTTAATAGAAATGAAGTGACAATTCGGACTCGGCCTCTGAATTGAGTCCAGCATAACGTCCGTTCCGACTTTTGACCCTTGTTCCTACATATTTCCAGTATTTATGAATTTTTTTTCGATTATAATGATAACAATCGAGACGTGAGCTTTAATATCCAGTTACTAGATGTATCTGAACTGGCCCTCCCAGCATCATTAGTATGAACAGAACAACCAAATTCAGTTGACTTTGCTGGTGGCAAAGTTAAATTATGTTGACCCAAGAGACTGCGTAGCAATCACGCACTCTCGGCTTGCTGGTGGAAGAGGTGTGGGGAAGAGGCCACGGCTGTCGGTTTTGTGTGATGTGATTTAAAAAAATAATAATTACAGAAAAACTATAACACACAACAAAATGAAATTAAACATGTGGAAAGACAAATGATGATGCTGTACATGTAGTGGTGGTGGAAGGACCCTGAGTTGTCAGTCGTGTACTTCTATAGACACTGCCATAGGGTAGAAGATACCTGTAATGAGAGTGCAGTCTTTTGACTTTTGACACAATTACACAGAGTCTTAGTAGGTAATTCTGGACTCCAGTTCTAATTCTGGTTTTACATAAAATCCCACGACGACAGTTTTGTAGGCCTTACCTCCTTACACTCATATCTCACTTAGGAAAGAAGCTCGAGTCCGAATAGATATTATTTACATTTGGACTCAAGTCCGAAGTCCAAATAGAGCTGGCCAAGTAGAAAAAAAATGCTGAATTATTAAAATTGGACTTGGTGGATTTGGATTATAAAGATGCAAGTGGCTATTCTCCGGCGTCGCGCCGGTCAAGAGATCGGAAGCTATTCTCCGGCGTCACGCTGCCGGTCTATTACTTATGAATTACAATGTATTTGTCGGCGCAGATTTTGAAATACAATAACTAGATCTCTAGGCCTAGTAAGCCTACCTTTCATTATATGTTATCAATGATAATTGTCTAACGTAACTTTATTCATTTATTTGGGTCGTCATTAAAATAATGATTCTGTTTCTTCTACGAACAAAACTGATTTTGTGTCTAAAATCCTGTCTAGTCATAGTATAGCTTGCTGTTTAACTTATCTCTTGTTGTCATAATTCTCGATAAATTTAACTGATATTTCGCGACTTCAGTGCTTTCTTGTCGTATCTCCTTTTTTGTAAACACTGAAAATGTAGCTTCTTCTTATCTAAATTGGAGGAATTGAGGCAGTTGTGTCTGAAAACGTATCGTCTTATCAATGGAAGTGGCACGAAGTGGTGAAGTTATGGGAATTTTTTCCCAAGACAAATACATTGTAATTCATAAGTAGTCTAATAGACCGGCGGCGCGACGCCGGAGAACAGCTTCCGATCTATAGACCGGCGCGACACCGGAGAATAGCCACTTGCTATAAAAATAGAACCTAGAATTCTAGATCTAGAAGTCTTGATATTGGCCACCTCTATTCTCACCCCGGGTGAGAATAGTGCAGGCGAGTCTTTTGGCTTTTCTCACCCGGTGCGCGTTCACCATTATAGCCTAGATCTAGGCCAACCAATTTTGCGTTCACCCTTAACCACAGAATTCTGCACTGTGATAACAGAAAAATTGTAGAATTCTGTACCGTGAACAAACGTTCCATTACTACTGTTAGCCTACTAAAAGCGTACAATTTTGTCTGTGGGCAGTGGAGAGAGAGAGAGAGAGAAAGAGAGAGAAAGAGAGAGGAGGAGTAGCGCGAGAACTTCCGGGCAAAACAAAATGGCGACCCCCGTAGTTCGGCTCGATTCGAAAAGTGAAATAGCCATAGCATCTTTGTAGTCGATAAAATTAGCTTACTTTTGTGCTATAGGCCTAACGTAATCTTTTCTTTGCCTTTCTCCATTTGATCATCCACATCGATAGAAAGTATTCTGAAATTAGGAAAAACAGGTCTTGTTTCACACTGGGTGAGACTAGCCTATGGTGGCAAGTCTCATCCGGGGTGAGAGGTCGATCGTATTTCTATTCTCACTCCAGGTGAGAATAGCCACTTCCCTTGACTTGATATTAATATAAGAGATAGATATAGCCTATAGAATCTAGAATCTAGAGATCTAATCTGGATTCTAGATTCTAGATCTAGATCTAGAATCTAGATATCTAGAGATCTAAATCTAGATTCTAGAGAAACAGAGGTGCTTTTTCGGTAGTTCCCACCCCCCTTATTTGAGCCTGACCTACTTCTAGATTCTAGATCTAGATCTATACGTTTGATTCGCAGTGAGCTAAGATATCAAACCTAACAACAGCAAAACATTAAATTGTGGTAAAATTCAGGGGGGCATGCCCCCCTGAAACCCCCCTTCCTATTTTTGTTAGGTCAGGGGGGCAAGCCCCCCTGAAACCCCCATACTCTTGGGGCCAAAACCCGTGAATAACAAGAAAGTGGCTATTCTCACCCGCCCGGAAGTTCTCGCAAGATCTACTCCTCCCCTCTTCTCTCTCTCTCTGTCTCTTTCTGAATACTGTCTATCGGTGTGGACGATCAAATTGACCAAAACAAAGTTAAAAAATGATGTTAAAACACAAAAGTAAATTAATTTGGTTGTCTACAAAGATGCTACGGCTATTTAACTTTTCGAATCGAGCCGAACTACGCGGGTCGCCATTTTGTTTTGTTCTCTCTCTTTCTCTCTCTCTCCACTGCCCACAGACAAAATTGTACGCTTTTAGTAGGCTACAGAGTTGTAATGGAACGTTTGTTCACAGCACAGAATTCTACAATTTTTCTGTTATAAAATCACAGTGTAGAATTCTGTGGTTTAGGGTGAACGCAAAATTTGTTGGCCTAGATCTAGATCTAGATCTAGGCTATAACGGTGAACGCGCACCGGGTGAGAATAGCCAAAAGACTCACCTGCACTATTCTCACCCTGGGTGAGAATAGAGGTGGCCGAATAACAATTGCAGGGTGGTAACTACCGAAAAAGCGCCGAGAAATACAGATCTAGATCTAGATTAGATTCTAAATCTATACGATTGATCATCTTACGTTGTTACAAGTAACACAATAACTTTAGAAATCTACAATAAAAGGCTACATAGTATAGGATAGGCTACATGATCTCTCAATTCATCAGAAAGTAAAATTGAAATTCAGTACAAACCTCAAAGATTGAGCAGTTAAGTGGGTGTCACTGTCGTATAATACTACGACGTGTTATACTATGGTATTTCGACACAAGATTGACAACAAAAGGGCCAAGAGTCTAGATATCTAGATCTATCTAGATCTAGAAGTAGAAGACTAAGATCTAGAAGACTAGATCACTGCGATGTTTATTATTAGGTTCGGGTACTTTTGCTTATTGATCAATCCATCAAGGGAAGCCACTCTAGCACGGTTATTTCCCAATAGCAACTCAAGTTTCCGACAGTGACCGTATTTTTCAGGACCCACACCACATCAACGACGAGCGATGATAAATCATAATGGCACACAGAATTCTACACTTAGAAGTGTAGAATTCTGTGTAATGGCATGAGTTGAATAACCTCCTTGATAATGGCCTATCTTATGAGCCTGCTCTGGTCTGAGGACACTCTCCACACGCACAAATAGGCCTAACAATAAATTGTAAACTGTAACCATAGCCTAAACTATTGTTTGTGGCGTCCAACATTCAGTCCAGTAGCCGTTAATAATATTGAAAAATTAAATTAATTTCTGTCCGACCGTTGAAACTTTAACGAATCATCGCGGACAATAATAAATATCTTTTCTACAACCAGTACTACTCAGAAATTTTAAAAATTTTTTTACTATTAAAACTGTAGTTTGACAAGCCTGCTATAACAATTTTTGTTAAATTAAAAAAAAAAAGCGATGTGATATTTTATTTCAAAATGCATGTGCATGAGCAGTCGGGGCCACTGACGAAAAATCTAGTAGGTTATAAGGAGGCCTAAGTCATGGCAAATTGTATTGACTTGTTTAAATTAGTACACCCCCAAAGTAATTGATTATACAAATAAATGCTTGCCTCAGGGGATCAACGCCAATTGTTCAATGGCATAATATATAATAGGCTACACACGAAACTGTGGCATTGGTGTCTGCGAGGTCGTCATGGTTAGGTGCTCTACTGTGGGCACAACAGACCTGAGTTTGATATTAATTTAGGAAAATTTCTTTGATCAAGTATTTCTGTCTTACTGTCACAATGCGACATTCCATTCAGCCTGGGCTGGCCATGACAAGCAGGTCTACTGCGTAGCATGAATCGACGTAATGTTTTCAAAAACAATTCGAATATCATTCTCGAGTCACCCCTTCAGTAACAGTTACCCAATTAGACCATTTTTTCACCCCCC